TCAACATCCATCAGCAATTTCACAAGAATAGTTCATATGCTAACATATTTAATATTCCTTATAGAATTCTAAGTTTAAAAAAAATGAAAAAATTACCAAAGCTTCAGATGAATCTATGAAAAGACAAAAGAAAAGCTTAAAGCTATAAAGCAACAGTCTCGACTGTATATGTAGACACAAGGGCTCTTTGGACTTACCAGAAAATAAGGGAAAAAACAATATGAACAGGGCTCTTATAAATAATTTCTAATTTTTTTAAAGTACAAAAAGGAAGCAATCCCTAGAAACTCACTCCTAGAAGACAATAACATATTCTCATAGTTTCAAGTAGGTTTTAGTGAATAGGAAGATGAAATTTACAATGAAGTGATTCATGGATATAATTTAAATCAAGACCAAAATAATACAAGTTTCATTTCTGATAATAAAATCCAACTGGGATCAAGTTAAATATCATTGATAGAAGCAATAAAGCACAATGATTAAGAGCATGAGGTCTAGGGTCAGTCAGGACTGCCATTAAAGCCAGTCTCTACCACAGTATAGCTGATGAATATGAGGTGCTTAGCAAAGAAAGCGCCAGGCACATAGTAGAAACCAGTATTACAACCCTCCTCCTCCTAATTTCTTCACAATAATTTAAAAGTAATTCCATTTTCATCATTATTCCTGAACCCATCACTGGCTACAGGCCTTGACAAGATACATGCATCAAGCTCTAGTCACACTTGTGCCTATGTCTGCTGTGATAAAAACAGAAGAAAAATCTTTGCTTTCTTTAATGAAATTGACCCACAGCCATATACTTTAAAATTAACTCCTTAGAGTGCGAGAGGGTGGAATAAAGATTTCTAGTACCTTTTCTTCTGGAATATCACCCCAAAACAATGACAGTAAGAAACAGAAAAACTTGATTTTATGTGTAACCCAAAAGGAAGATCAATCCTAAATGCTTAAAGAGGGAGATAACAGATTTACCCTGAGAACCCTCAGGAAATTTTAAACTAAGAAGCATGAGGTACCATAGCAGGCAGAGTTGAGGAGGTGATAAAAACAAGGAGACTGTCCAAACAAAGCCTATATAAGAAATAATTCTTCCTACTGTGTGGATTTTCAACACCTGACCTTGAAAACCACAGGCCTTCCTATTTGCTGGTTAAAAAAAAAAAAATTCTCATCAAGATAAAAAGAGTATTTCTCTTACCCTGCAGGTGGAATAATGAGCACATAATATTCTGACTCATAAAGCCATCCCTCCCAAATGTTATTTCTAATAAATAAGTCTTGTTGGATCAGCAAATTTTGGAAATTACTGCTATGTCTCATTAAAGTAATCTTTCCTTCTTCTCTTAAAAAATCTGATTTTGAAAGCTTGCCTTCTAAATAATTTGTTACTCTGGTAATAATATTAAAAGACTTAGGTTTCTAAAGAGTCTAAACACATGCAAGCTCCAGTTGTTAAAGTAGAAGGGGACCACTGATACTTCCTCTTTTCCCATAAGCCAAAAGTGAAAAATATAACCAATGACCTATAGCTTGAGTTATTTAAATTATCTATCATTTCCTTTTTTAAAAAAAGTTAAAAGGGGGGAGAAAAGATACCTTTTTGCTTGTGCAAGCAGGCTTTTCTTGGAAGAATACTCATGAAACTGATAATACTTTGTCGCTCCCAGGGCAGGTGGTGGCAATTCCACATAGAATACAGTAAGAAATGTGCCCCTGTATGGAGGTATGCATGTTTTGGAAGGAAAAAATAAAAATAAAAAAAAAAATGTGCCCCTGGAGCTATGAAACACACAGATCCTGAGGAAAGGGTCCTGGGAGTAGGGGGGCAAGAGTGGAAGACTTACTGCTGCAAATCCTTCTGTTCTTTTAGAATTTTGACACATATAGATGTAAATAGTTCACAACAACTAAAATTAAAAATTATAAATTGCCTTAACTACATGCAAAGTATCCAATCCTTCAAATTTTTTTATTGATGTACCATAGTTGCACATATTTTTGGTGTACATGTGTTATTTTGATATATGTGTACAATGCATAATGATCAAATTAGGGTCACTGGGATATCCATCACCTCAAACATTTATCTTTTTTTTGAGATGGAGTCTTGCTCTGTTGCCGGGGCTAGAGTGCTGTGGCATCAGCCTAGCTCACAGCAACCTCAAACTCCTGGACTCAGGTGGTCCTCCTGCCTCAGCCTCCTGAGTAGCTGGGACTACAGGCACACAACACCACGCCCAGCTAATATTTTCTATTTTTAGTAGAGACAGGGTCTCCCTCTTGCTCAGGCTGGTCTCGAACTCCTGAGCTCAAGCGATTCTATCGCCTCAGCCTCCCAGAGTGCTAGGATTACAGGAATGAGCCATCACACCCAGCCTCAAACATTTATCTTTTCTTTATATTGGGATCCAATCCTTCCAATTTCTTATTCTAAGTCACTAAATTCCACTCTTCTTCCCCAACAAACCTGGCTTCAGAAATTATGTTAAACATTTGCAATGAAATATCTGAATACCCACAATTCACTAACCTGTGAGTTGTTTTTATTGTAAGGTTCTTTGGAATCCACAAGACTAACACTTAGTTTGGTAATTATTTGTATGATATCTTACAATACTGATCAACTATTTTATGTTTGCCTGGCATCTTCCCAAATAGTCATGAAATCATTATGCTTTTATATACCATCAGCATTCATTAGGTATTCAACAAATCATTCTTGAAAGATTTAACAATATCGAAAGCCATAAAAATTTTCAATCTCTTTTACTCATTCTGGCAACGTATACTAATTGGCCAAATGGAAAACAGTAGGTGGGGCCGGGCACAATGGCTCATGCCTGTAATCCTAGCACTCTGGGAGGCTGAGGCGGGTGGATTGCTCAAGGTCAGGAGTTTGAGACCAGCCTGAGCAAGAGCGAGACCCCGTCTCTACTAAAAA